GTAACAAAAATAATAAAATTTCAGAATAACCCAGTAAATATAAAAGTAATTCAATAAGGAGGAGAAAAAAAGCAGAACACTGGTAGACCTGTGTGTGTGTTTATGTTTACTGTACCATTGTTTTATGGCGGGCCAGGGATTTAGCTCAGTGGTGTCACTTCCTGCCTTGAAAGCTCAAGGACCCAAGTTTGATCCCCAGTACCAAAACAAAACAGAAAAACCCAAAACATTTTTTATGGAAGTATTAACCATGAATTAGGTGAGGTTAAATTAGGTGTGGTCTTCAGGAATGAATCCCTTGGGTAGAACTACCCCATCCTTCTCTCTCTTACATTGCCTCGGGTTGCTTAAAGGAGGAGGAGATACTGGTCTATAAGAATTAAAGTGAAAAAAAGGATTATTGTTAGGTAAGGCCAAAGAAACTCCTAGGCTTAATTCCTAGCACTACCTGCTATGTCTTTGATCTCAAATTCTGGTTTTTTATTGTTCTTACTAAAAAAGGCATTTGGGGTCTGGCGATGTAGTTCAGTGGAATTGAGCACCTGCCTAGCATGCATGAGGGCCTGAGTTCAGTTTCCACCACAACCAAAAATAGGTGGAGGAATACAGGGGACTGACTTTTTTAAAACAATGTCTTGCTGTATAGTTCAGACTGATCTTGAACTGTTATGTAGCCCAGGCTGGCCTCAAACTCATGGCAGTCCTTCTGCCTAAACCTTAATACTTCCATAAAAACAAATCCCAAGTGCTGGGATTATAGGTGTGTGCCACCATGCCTGGTTTAGGACTGATTTTTATCTTTTATATATGCTAACTTTGTGTCTTATAACCTTTCTTTAATTTTAGTTTTTTGGGGAGAGAAAAGTCATATCTTTAGGATTTTCTGTATAGGCAGTCATATCATCTTCAGAGAGTGTTATTTCTTCCTTTTTGGTCTACAGGGCATTTACTTTTCTTGGCCACTGTGCTCTGTAGCTAGGACTTCCTAAGTGTATGTTGGAGTAGTGAGAAAGTTCATTCCTATTTTGTTCCTTGTCTTAAAGCCTTCCGCTTCTTATCATTAAATTTGAAGTGATGTGTGAAGTGATAGGTGGGAGTTAGGGGCACACACCTGTAATTCCAGTACTCTGGGAGGCTAAAGCAGGAGGGGTCTCAAATTTGAGCCCAGACCGGGCAATTTAGCAAGACCCTGTTTTAGGAAAAAAAAAAAAAAAAAGTAAAAAAGGGCTGCAGATGTATTTCGGTGAGAATGACTTGGGTTCACTCCCCAGTATTGGAGATGGCAGGGAGTTATGAAGTGCTGTCTTTGTAGAGATTCTTTAACAAGTTAAGGAAATGCCGGGCTGGGGATTTAGCTCAGGGGTTCCTCCTCCTGCCTCCAAAGTTCAGGTCCCAAATTTGATCCCCAGTGCCAAAACAAAACAGAACAAAACAAAACTCCATGTAAGCCAGGTGTGGTGGTGCACGCCTGTAATCCCAGCATTTGGGAGGCTGAGGCAGGAGGATTGCTGTGAGTTCAAGACCATTTTAGGCTACATAATGAGTTCCAGGTCAGTCTCAACTACATAGTGAGACCCTGTCTCAAAAAAGAAAAAAAAAGTTGAGGAAGTTCCTCTACTGTGCTGCCTCTGTGAACTATGTGGCTTTGCCCAAATCATCTTACTTTTTCTTTTTTCTTTTCTTTTTTTTGGGGGGGTAAGGTCTTGCTATGTAGCCCAGGCTGGTCTTGGACTCCACCTGAGTGCCGGGATTACAGGCATGCACCATTATGCCTTGAAGCTTACTTCTTTTGAGTCTTAGTTTCTTGGTTTTAAATGAGTGTTTCTGCAAATTGCACGAAGTTCTCTTCTGTATTTTTCATTTGTTTTACTCTCTTCCTCAATTGTGAAAGGAAACAAAAGGTATACAGTGACCTTTAATTCTCATGCTCCTTAACCAGTACATTAGCTTTTGCCTTCAGGCGACAGGCAAGCAGGCCATCCAGCAGGTACAACCTGTTGTTCCTCTCTGAATGCCCCTATTTGGGAGAGGGATCTGGGTCACAGTGCCAACACACTACAGTAACTACAGAATCCAGCAGATCTGCTTTTCAGTATCTTAGTGATGCCAGGCATGGTGGCAAGTGCCTTAATCCCAGGCAGGGTGATCTGTTAAGCCCACAAGTTGCAGACTAGCTTGAACAGCATAGGGAGACTCTCCCTCCTCCCCAGTGAAATAATTTTGTGTGATGTCAAGTGGGTGACTTCACCTCTTTTTAAGTTTTGTTTCCCCATTTGTATCATTCCTATTTTACAGATCATTACAGAATATAGAAATGATATACATAGTTACAAAAAATAAACAAGATACTGTGGTGTCCTTGCACATAACAGGTGTTCAGTTAAATTGAATTCCTCCTTTCATCTGCTGTAGTTGTCTTGATTCCATATCAGAATCACCTGGACCCCACTGCAAAAAAAAAAAAAAAAAAATCCTGATGCCTTTGAAACTATTACAGTGGACCCTTGACTTATGAACTCATCAGTTCCTGAGGGATGGTTATAACTCAAGTTGGTTGTGAGTCAATGCAGCTGAGATCTGGATGTTTACCTGGGTACACGCTATAGATAACAAGAGGCAGATGATTTTTCCATTAACCCAATTAACCTAAGTTGTTGCAATGTTTTTTTGTTTGTTTTGTTTTTTGGTACCAGGGATCAAACTTGAAACCTTGAGTTTGCAAGGCTGCAGCAGCGCCAGTGAGCTAAATCCCTGACCCCTACCCAAGTTGTTTGTATGTCAGGCAGGTAGTAACTTGAGGGTCCACTGTACACTAGTGAAAACACCAGACATAAAAGTCATATACTAAAAAGAAAAAAAATCCACAACACAAAAAGTCACATATTTTTTAATTTCATGCGTGTAAAACATCCAGATTAGGTAAATTTATGGTGACATATAAGTTGGTGATTGCTTGGGGGAGGGGGAGAAACTGCTTAATGGTAAGAGGTTGACTTTGGAGTGATAAATATTTTGAAACTACATAGAAGTGGTTATACAAAGTTGTGAGTTGTCAGTGTGCTAAATGGAGCTGCATTGTTTTTTTCTTCTCAGCCTCCATCTCCTCCTCTTGCTCCTCTCCCCCACCCCCAAACAGGGTCTCACTGTGGAGTTCAGGCTGGCCTTGAACTCACTGTGTAGCCCAGGTTGGTCTCAAATTCTTGGTGATCCTCTTGCCTCAGGCTCCTGAGTGCTGGGATTCCAAAGAAGTGCCACCATGTCTGGGTAAATTAGATTTTTCTTCCCAGCTTTATTTAGGTTTGGTTATTGTAAAATAAAGTTAACATATTTAAGTTGTGTAATTTGATAAAATTTGACATATACATAATATATATCCCCACAATCAAGACAATGGGCCTTGTCTTCCAAACTTTCCACATGCTCCTTTCCCTCCAACCTCCTCTTTCCCTCTGATCTCCAGGCAACCACTGTTCTACATTCTGTTTGTTTTTTTTTTTTTGGTACCGGGGATTGAACTCGGGTCCTTGCGCTTGCAAGGCAGGCCACCGAACTGCTGAGCTAAATCCCCGGCCCATTTTTATTTTATTTTTTTATTTTTTTATTTTTTGTTCTACATTCTGTTAGAACAGATTAGGTTTCACTTTCTAGAATTTTGTAAAAAATGGAATCATGTAGTATACACTAGTTTGGTCATCTTCTTTCACTCAGCCACTTATTTTGAGAGTCCTGCTGCATATATTAATAATTTGCACTTGTATCTTGCTTCATTTGAGACAAAGTCTTGTTATATAGTTCAGGCAACACTTGAATGCAATACATAGCCCAGGGTGGCCTCAAATTTGAGGCCAAATTCCTGCCTCAGCCTCCCAAGTGCTGGGATTACAGGTGTGTGCCCTGACACCTGGCCAAATTCACACTTGTATTGCTGAAAAGTGTTCCACTCTATGGGCATGCTACAAATCATTTATCCACTCATGTGCTGATGGACAGTTACACCTAGAGCTGCTCTGATCCTTTCTGGGTCAGCCTTTGCTTTGATTCTGAATGGAATGGCTAGGTCACAGAATATATGTCTGCTTAAATTCTTGTTGACATTTAAAAGTAAGGTTTGATGACTTATTTACAACACTACATATAAAAGAAGGCACAATTGAATTTTTCCATTGTAAGGCTCTTTGAAAACTGGTCTCAGTAGAATGGTAGCTGGGAAGATTTTAGAGTGGAATTAGGAAAAACAGTGAAGGGAGAGCTTGAAAAGTGACTACAGATAAGGAATTTTGCTGTAGTCGAGAGAGCCAGGTGTAATGGTGTACACCTGTAATCCCAGCTATTCTGGAGGCTGAGACCATTTTGAGACGTTTGAGTCTAGTTTGGCCAACTTAGTGAGATCTTGTCCCAAAATAAAAGGGTTGGGAAAAATAAATAAATAAAAGGTCTGGGGATGTAATTCTGGGTGCCTGATGTGCATGAAGGGCCCTAAGTTTGATCCCAGAACTGGAGAAGGTGTGAATTGTTCTTCTAAATTTTATGTTCTATGAATTGAACTTCAATTTTTTAAAAAATGAGACAATCTTGTTGCCCAATCCACATCCTAGGCCTGAGTGTGCTGTGTTCTACCAAAATTCATTATTTATTTATTTATTTAGAGACAGGGTCTCACTATGTAGTTGAGACTGACCTGGAACTCACTATGTAGCCCAGGCTGGTCTCACACTCACAGCAATTCTCCTGCTTCAGCCTCCCGAGTGCCCAAAATTCATTTTTATACCAGGTAGCAACCAGTATTTGCCAGATCTAAAAGTTGAGTGGTGCTGCTTTAGCAGTCTAGTGCCTCCAGAGGCAAGGAAGGTATCCTTCTAGGCACAGCCCCACCAGAAACTCCCTTTGCCACCTGTTCCAGTTCTTCCTATTGGACATGCTTGATTATTTAAGAATAAACACCTGAGCATTAAAAAATAAAATGTTAAAATGCTAACACTTCAACTTGTGTTTAATTCTAGCTGCAAAAGACAAGGAGAAGAATAAAGAGAAAAAGTTCAAAGAATTTGTGAGAATGAAACCAAAGAAGAAGAAGAAAAAGAAAAAGAAAACCAAACCTGGTGATTTTCCCTTGAGGTTCCCTTGGGTTTCCTTGTCCTAGGTGGGGAGGGATGGCACCTTCCCTGGTGGCCTCTGAGCTGCACCGAGGAGAGTAAGGACAAGCAGGCCTCTCTCAGGGCTTGTGTGTGTGACCTAGCTTGGGTCCTGGCAAGATTTTGGTGAGGTTCTCCCCCAAGTCTTATAAGACCCAACTGACATTTATGGAAGCCTTCCCACTTGCTGCATTGGTCAGTGTGTCCTTTCACAGGGTGGTATGCATGAAGGCATCAAAGTCCAAGAGGATGTGCTGATGAGTGACAGTTTTTGTTCACACACATGACTGTTTTTTTGTACCAGTGATCAAACTCGGGACCTTGCGCTTGCAAGGCAGGCATAGTGCAACTGAGCTTAACACCCTCTGCCCCTTTACACACATGACTTTTTTTTTTGGTACCAGGGATCAAACTCAGGACCTTCCGCTTGTGAGACAGGTGGCAGCACCACTGAGCTAAATCCCTGGCCCTACACACATGACTTTTAAATATACATCTCTCAAGAAAAGATTCACTTCTTGAAAAGTGTTTTGTCTATCTACACAATATTATTTTTTTAAAAAATCTATGATCCCTGGGAGTTAAAGATGCTAGGTTTTATTCCCAGTGTAGCTTCTGGTTTAGAAAAACCATCTAATCAGGAAAGAGGAAGATGGTGACAGTGAGGAAGAATTTGGGCTTAGGATTCTCAGAAGTGGCTGAAAAGATGAATCCCTAAATCTGCCCTCCATGCCTCTTTGTGGCTGAACTGTCCCCATGCCTTTGAGCTCTTTGAAACACAGACTTGTTGGTGGATGAGGCTGATTGTGGACCGTCCTGATGATCGCTTCCATTCTTTCAGAATGCCCCTGCAGTGAAGAGATCAGTGACACTTCCCAGGAGCCATCACCACCCAAGGCATTTGGTGTGACCAGGTGTGGGCCTTCACAAAAGCCTATAGTCCATATGAGCCCACAGCTCCATGGCACAGAATCTGCCAACCACAAAGGGAAATTGAAAGCATCTGGTAAGGGCACTCATTGTGGCCTGAAGATATGTTAGAGAGTAGTACTTATTGACGTACCAAAGAAGTGTTTCCTTGTCTTAGGTGGGGAGCAGTGGTAAAAGTTAGAGGTGACTCTGGTTCTGATTGTTCTGGGATTCTTTACTTCCTCCCTACTGTTTGCAGAACATGAAAGAGCTGTGGACACAGATTGATAAATAGCAAACCAGGTTCTGGCTGAATGGTGAATACTGAGCAACATGTTAGAGGTGCCCTGGGTGATGGACTGTATGGTTCATGGAGAGTTGTAGCGCCTTTGCCAACAAGCTCTGTGACCTTGAGCACCCACTGACCTTGGGTTTCATGTTCTGGTGAAGTGAGGGAATGGAGTGTTTTGAGGCAGCGTATTGTGTTTGGGCTGTTACTAATGACAAATCCAGGGAATGGATTGGTGCCTCCATTTCCCACCCCTGAGCAGCTCCTGGAGAAGTGGGTCCAAAAAGTCATTCTCCACTCTGGACCTTAGGGTTTTATAAAACTTGCAGCTCTAATTTAAAATAGTAACTGTTGCTTTTCTTCTCCTTCCAGAGGAGGATAATTTGAGTGAGTCCTCTTCTGAGAGCTTTCTTTGGAGTGATGAGGAGTATGGTCAGGATGTCGATGTGACCACTAACCCAGATGAGGAAATTGATGGGGATGATCGCTATGATTTTGAGGTGGTCCGCTGCATCTGTGAAGTCCAGGAGGAAAATGATTTTATGATTCAGGTAAGAAGAGCTTCCAGAACATAGGTCTAAAGAAGCAAAAAAACACTGGTCCTTGGAGAGAAGGTTGAGGCCAGCAACAGTGGTGAGTGACCTCCAAAGCCCCAGATATTTGGTACTAATAGCAGACCAAGTTTGCTTTTGGTTTGATTTTCTGGGAATTTCAGGCTGCTATAAATAACCTATCAGTAGAATAAAAGAGGCTTTGAGAAATCATTGATTATAAACTTCTCATCCTCTGCTTAAGACATTTGAAGACTGCCCTGGGGTAAGGACCTTGCCAATGGTCACACAGTGAGGAGTTGGATATCAGGGACTTTGGGATGACAGTTTAACCTTATGTTTCATCTTCTTCTTGAGGTGAATTTTCTTTGTGGCCTAAAGAAACGGAGGCTGGTTTTATAACTTCTTTGTTTCCTATTGTTTTCCTGACATGTCTGTTATCTTCCTCCTTGGGATGTGCCTGTGGGGTGGGACCTCCCTGCCTACTTGAGGAGACCATCACTGGCCCCTTGCTTGCTGTGGCCCGTCTTTTGCCGTTTGTTACTTGCAGTTCTGGCGGAGGTGGCTGCTGTCTGGCTGACTCTGAGGACTGTCATAAATACCCTGGGTGTCTTGGCAGCTGCCCGGCTGGCCAGGAAACCTGAGTTTTTTGAAAGTAAGTCATGCTTATATTAGTTAGTGTTCTTTTAGGAGCAAGTACAGACTTTGTAGACAGGGTCTAGGAATGCAAAGGCTTGCTCACACTATTTCCTGTTTCTTTCCAGAGTCAATTTGGTTGTTTTCCTTTTTCCTACTTCTGTTTATTAACTTTTTGTGTTACTATTTATTGTCTTAGAAGATATAAAACGGTCACATACCTATGTTTCCTTTTCATTTTCTGTTTAACCTTTTTTTTGGTACCGGGGATTGAACTTGGCCCTTGTACTTGTGAGGAAGGCGGTAGAACCACTGAACCAAATCCTGGCCCCTGTTTTACCTTTTTTTGTTCAAGAGACTACATAGGTTGAGATTGGAGTCAAAATTCTAATTCTGAATTCCTGGGTAAGGAATTCCAGTCTGGCTCAGGTGAATATTCGCCTTTAGGGAGGCAGAGGGTTGTCCTGGGCCAGGGGCCCATCCTTGGACTAATCATCTGATCTGGAGTTGGGTGGAGGTCGAGGAATGTGGACAACTTCATATTATCTAGAAAGGCTTCCTTGACACTAAACCTCCGGTATTATGTAGACAGTAAGGGGTAGCTGTTTCTGGTAAAGAAAGCTCCCGGGGATTTAGCTCAGTGGTTCTGCTGCCTGCCTCGCAAGCACAAGGACCCAAGTTTGATCCCTGGTACCAAAAAAAAAAAAAAAAAAAAAAAACCCCAAACAAACAGAAAAGAAAGCTCCTGTCCATCCTCCAGTAAGAGTTTACCTGGTCTATGGAAATTATGAGAAGAAGGCCAGCCTTCCTTGGCTTGCTTTCTCTGTTAGGATATTATTTCCTTACCCTACTAGTGCTATAGGTCAGTATGGCATCAGTTTTTGAAATTCACTTTTGGATTTTGGTTTAAAATATAATTGAATTTATATATTTGAATCTGATTTTGAATTTGTCTTTTCATACATAACATTCTATTTTGATTTCTTCTCTCTCCCCTCCCCTCCTCTTTGGTACTGGGAATCAACTCTGGACCTTCTGCTTGCGAGGCAGGTGGCAGCACCACTGAGCTAAATTCCTGGCTTCTCCTTTGATTTCTTGACATATTACTCTTTCCCATAATTCTTTAAAATTTCAGAAAGACCAAACCAGACATGGTGGTGAACGCCTGTAGTCCCAGCACTCAGGAGGCTGAGGCAGGAGGATCACTGTGAGTTCAAGACCAGCCTGGGCTACATAGTGAGTTCTAGGTCAGTCTCAACTACATAGTGAGACCCTGTCTCACAAAACCAAAAACCAAAACCAAAACAAAACAAAATTAAAAAGTGAGGAAGGAATAGGCCCACTTACTTTTTCACTTCTTATTTATCAAGTGCTTTTTTTAACTTTCATTTTGAAATAACTGTAGATTCACAAGAGGTTTCAAAGAAATGTATATAGAAGTCCCATGAACTCCTCCCCCCTTCATACAGCCTACCAACAATACAGTATTAAAACCAAGAAATTAGTGGGGTGTGGCGGTACATTCCTGTAATTTTGGAAGGCTGACACAGAAGGATTTCAACTCCCAACCTGGCCTAGGCAATTTAGTAACACCCTGTCTCAAAAAATTTAAAGGGGTGGGGAAGGGTTGGGTATTCAGTCCCCAATACTGAAAGAACAAAACAAAATAACAGAAAGAAACTCCCAGTGACATTGGCATAATCTGTAGAGTTTACACATACCATACTCTTCCATGTATGCGCATGCCTCTGTGTGATTTTGTTACAATTATAGCCTTGTGTAAACCTCTGTTACAGTCAGGATACTTGGGTTTATTCACCATTTATAGTTGAGAATTGAAACTAAAACATTATTTTTGAAACAAAATGTATTGTCTAGGCTGCCTGACCAATTCCCTTCCACCCCCCTCACCCCACTGCCCACTGGGCACCCCCCAGTCCCTGTGTGCCTCAGTCTCCCCAGTGTCCAAATCACAGGTATGCGCCACAATGCCTGGCTTCACAAGATTATCTTTTACCAGGATAACTACTGTTAATATTTTGGAATACCCATATATCAATATACATGAGAAAACTATAAGCAGCTTTTTAAAGTGAATTACATTTTTTAGGATGAAACAGTAAATATAAAAATTTCTTGTAATACCTAAGGTATAAATAATTTATTAATATTGTTCTCCAATCTTACAATAGTTACTAATATTACACATTACCTCTGATGATGTTTCTTTGTTTGTTTGGTACAGGGGATTGAACTCAGGGCCTTATGCTTGCAAGGCAGGTGTGGTGCCACTGAGCTAAATCCCTGGCCTGTGCTGCTGGGTTTTTTTTGTTTTTTGTTTTTTTTTTTTTGGTACTGGGATTGAACTCAGGTCCTTACACTTTCAAGACAGGTGGTGGAACCACTGAGCTAAATCTCTGGCCCTGCTGTTTTCTGATACAGCGTCTCACTGTATAGTCCAGGCTGGCCTTAAACTCAGGGCAATCCTCCTGCCTCAGCTTCGAGAGTGCTGGGATTACAGACGTATGCTACCACTCCTAGCAATTTCACATTAATTTATATTGTTATTTAACGTTAATTTTTAATGGTTGACTTGAACATTTTTTATTTAATAGTTAATTTTTTTTGCCATGACTGATCTCTTTGTGTCCTTTATACATTTTCTTTTGAGAGTTGGCTCTTTTCTTACTGATTTGGGCAGCCTATTTATTCATTTATGTATTTGTATTGAGAATTAAACCTAGGGTACTCTATTATTGAGTCACATCTGTTGCCCTGTATTATTTTTTAAAATTTGGATTACAGTGAGCCATTAATTTTTGTTTGTTTTTGCATTTTCTTGGTTTTTTTTTTTTTTTTTAGAGATAAGGTTTCACTATGTAGTCCAGACTGGCCTTGAACTCTTGTTGATCCTTCCCCAGCCTCCTGAGTGTTGGGATTATAGGTGTGTGACACTACACCCAGGTTTTTCTTGCTTTTTTGAGACAGGGTCTCACTGTGTAGCCCAGGCTGGCCTTGAACCCAGCTTCTTGAGAGCTAAGATAACAGTTTCACCATCATGCCTGGCTGGCTGGTTGGTTTGCTGTTTCCTTCCTTCTGTTCCTTCTCCCCTCTTCCCTACTTCCTTCTGTCTCTCTCTCTCTTTTTTCTCTCTTTTATTTTGTATGTGTGTGGAATACTAGGGATTGAAACCAGGACCATCTCCAACCCTTATGTATTTATGTGTGTACTTATATATGTATGTATATATTTATGTATGTATTTAGGGACTTGATCTCAATAAGTCACTAAAGCCAAGGCTAGTTTTGTACTGGGGAATCCTCCTGCCTCATCTTCCCAGAGTGCTTAGATTACAGGCCTGCACCACCACACTTGGCTGTGAAAGCTTTTTATAGAGCTTTTGTATAGGTTGTGGTAAGGGTTACAAATATATTTGCCACTTTCTATCATGTCTTTTAACTTGTCTTACGGATATTTTGCTTGGCTTCATGAAGTCAAACATAACAAATTTAAGAAAAAGAGAAAAAGCCAGGGATTTAACCCAGTGGTTCTGCTGCCTGCCTTGCAAGCTCAAGATCCTGAGTTTGATTCCCAGTACTAAAAAAAGAGAGAAAAAATACAACAAACTTTAATGATTTCTTTTTATGAGTTCTTTGACAGCTAGGGCTGGGCTGGATTGTCACTCAGAAATAGAGTATTTGCCAAAGCACTTGCTTAGCGTGCCTGAAGCCCAGTGTTCATTTCCCAGCATTACAGAAACAAACATATAACAGCACAGCACCTTTTATGGTTTCTTCTGGTTTTTCTGAGGTTTCATTAATTTTTTAAAACAATAAATATTTGGTCCATCCTGGAAAAAAAGGACAGCTGTGGTTACCCAGTTTTCCTAATACCATGTTCCACTATTTGAAATGCTGCCCGTATTTACTTTGTTTTGTATATATTTGGATCTTTTCTGCATTCTTTTCCTTTGAGCCATCTGTCTATATTTTTGCTTATTTAAGTCTAATTATTATGCCTTTTTTTTTTTTTTTTTTTGGTACCAGGGATCTGACTCGGGTTCTTGTGCTTGTGAGGCAGGCAGCAGAGCCACTGAGCTAAATAGCTAGCCCTATGCTTTTATAATATTAATATAGCTGGTAGGGCTAGTACATTCTTGTTGCTTTTTCTTTTCACATTTATCCTGGCTTTTTTAGAATTTTAGAAATCTACCTGGTTTACAAAGCTATTAATTTATTATCTTATTAGGGTTACATTATTTTTGTATAGTAGCTCAAGGAGAATTGATTCCTTATGTTATTGACTCTTATTGTCCAGCACTTGGTTATATTGTGCCATGACTTTTATCTCTTTGTTCTTCAAATAATATTTAAAAATTGTCTTTATAGAGAGCCAGATGTGGTGGCACAACCTGTAATCCCAGCACTTGAGAGGCTGAGGCAGGAGGATCACCATTAGTTTGATGCCAGCCTCAACTACATAGAGAAATCCTGTCTCAGAATACAGAAGAAAAAAAGTCTTCATAGAGATTTTTCAACTTTGTTGTATTTATTAAACTTACTATGTAAGCCAGGTTGATCTCAAACCCATGGTGATCCTCGTGCTCAGCTTCCCAAATACCTGGATTATAGGTGTGCACCACCATACCCAACCTAAATTTAAACTTTTAAAAGTGAATAATGAAAAAGTTATCATTGTATTTTGAAACCCAGCTGTATTTGATTCATATTTGGTGAAGTCTATATCTTAAGACAAAGTCATTGGTGAAATAGAATTTCATCTTTAATTACTAGTCTGTTTTCTGCTACTCACCATCTTTATTGTTTTGCCCAGTTTACTTTTCTCTGAACATTAGTTTCCTCAGTAAATTGGAGGCTTTGGAGCAGATCTTATCTGAGGTCTTTCAGCACTGCTTTTGTCAGTTAGCTTGCTGGAGGCTTTCTCTTTTCCTAGGGAAGACTTCTTGATACTCTGACCTATCTGACTCCAAGTGGGTGTTAGAACTTGATTTCTAGTGCCTTGTTGCCAGGCAGGTGACCCACCATCAAGATCATATTAAGAAGCTCATAGTCCACCTTCCAGAGTTTATCTGTCATTTGAGTAGTTAAGATTAAGGACCTTGGATTGGAATTGCTTGAAATGTCTTAGAATCTGCCTTTTAGACTTGCTGTCCCTAGCTATCAAAATATCACTGCCACCCTCATTGTCAGCTCCTTCTTTATTCTCTCTGCTTTTTCCCCTCTGTCCTCATTCCTCAATACCTAGGGAAGGTAGTGGAGCCTAGGGTTATGAAAGCTAGCTTTGCAGTTATCCAGGCTTATGTTCTGATCCACCATTGCCTGTCATCAGCTGTGTGACCTTTGGTAAGGCTTAGAGAGAACACACATAATTGCTACAGGAGATTCGAAGTAAACTGGCTTGTCCAGTAGTACAAAGCTGTGTGCTGGGCCCTGTGGTGGCTAACAGTCAGCTTGTGGAATTGGTAGGAATAGTATAGTATCCCATTTTGTGCATAAGGAAACTGAAGCCCAGAGAGAAGTGACCTGACAAGTGACACAGCTAATGAATGTCTGAGCCATAATTCAAACTCAGCCTTTTGTCATTTCAAGTTAGCCCTTACCTAAGGATTTGAACAATTTTCATTCAGTCCGCATAATGTGATCAGGAAAGTGGAAACCCCTAGAAATGGGAGTGAAAACAATCATTATTCTGAGATTGCACTGTTCAATACACCTGAATGTTCTTTGTGCCAACTGCTACAGTAATTCAACCTCAGGTGGTTGTTGGGCATTTCAGATGTGGCTCATGGGGCTCAGAAACTAATTTAACTTAACTTGTTCATTTAAATAAACGTAGAGCCCCATGTGGCCAGTGACTCCCATATTGGAGAGTGTGGCTGCAGCTCATTTTAGTAGACTCTGTAGGGGCTGCTCTTTCTTCTCTTCAACTCCCCCACCCTCTGACACACACCTCCTGGTGAGGAAGTCTTGTGGATGCAGGATATTTTCTGAGTTTAATTTTTGTTGCTTTAATTCTAACAGTGTGAAGAGTGCCAGTGCTGGCAGCATGGGGTCTGTATGGGATTACTGGAAGAAAATGTACCTGAGAAATACACCTGTTACGTTTGCCAGGACCCTCCAGGTAGAGATTTGTGGAGTCAGGGATATTAACAGTGTGTGGTCTTTTCCTTAGCACAGGTGGTTGTGAAACATCCTAAGTGTCTGTGGTATTGAGATGAATTTATTGGCACCTACTAATCCCACTTATTTGTGCTCTTGTTGCTGGCGCACCTGGTGGCTGGCTTTCCTTAACTTAGCTATACAAGAATATATGTGAAGAGGCTCACCTAGAAGGCCTGACCCTTGACCTGAAATATTTCCTTTTCTTTAATTGTGCTTTTTAAAAAAAACAACCACCATGAAATACCTAACCTCTTATCAAATGTTTATATGTTTGATATTGTTAATAATAAGCACAGTGTCATACAGCAGGCTAGAACTTTCATCTGGCCTGCCTGAAACCCCAGGTATTGTGGCACACACCTGTAATCCCTGCCCTTTGGGGGCTGAGGCTGGAGGATCGTTGTGGGTTTGAGGCCAGCCTGAACTACAAAGTGAGACTTGTCTCCAAAAAACCCAAACCAAACAATAAAAGGATATTGGCTGCTCCTTGAGTTAGTCTGCCCTCTTTGCTCAGGAACGTGCTCATCGTCTCTGTACTATTTTAGTTCAGCATATGTGCTGTTCAGTAATCACCTTTTCCTTGTACTGAGAGCTTGTGAGGGTTGCTGTGTGAGCTCTGCTATTGGAAGGCTAGAAAGCTGCATGTGCTACCTGTGGTGGCATCTGCCCTCCACTGCATTGCTGCCACCTGGAAGGAGATATGGCCTAGTGGGGAAGGGTGGAAGCGTGGCTGCTTAGCAACTGTTGCCACCTGGAGCAGTGTCTTGATTGCTTAGCACAGTTAGTTTCATGGTTACAGGAGTCACCTGTAACTTCCCTCTGGAATGGGAATTGGTAGGGATTCCTGTGGTTCTTGTCCTCCTGTCAGTGGGACAGTGACATTATCTCCCTTTACCACCTATTAGGTGTCTCCCTCAGCTCCAGTTCCTTGATTCCCTTGTAGCTCAACAATACTTTGGAACCTCTGCTTCTTTTATTCTGCTTGGTCCTGTGAGATGGGCCTGGTAGGTCTTCTATCCCCAGTTTCATTTAAGAGAAAGAAATCAATGCCCAAGGATGACCTTTCTAACCCATTAAGGAACAGGAATGAGAACGGGCCTGCCTCCAGGGCGAAATCTCTTGATTTTGCTGGTTTTAGGGGGGACTGGCCATTGCTGTTTCAGCAAGCAGGTTCTCACCAAGCTGGAAGGCCTTTGATGTGACACGGTGTGCTTGTATTAGCTTAGTCCCTAGATGGCAGATAATCTATTTCCATTTATCTCTTTATCCTAAGAATGTGGTCAATTAGGTGAGTAAACAGGCCCGAGAAGGTTTATGACTAGCCCCGGATCACTCTCCCAGTTATGTCTAATGGGAGCTGAGAATCCCTGGTCTTTGACCTTTGTCTTGTAAAACAGGTGCTGCAGCTCTGAATCCTACTGTGAAGGCCATTGCCTTCACAGAAGCAGCTGCCTCTGAGGTTCCCCCATGATTCCACGGGCTCCCTTTCAAGATTTTTTTTCTTGTTGTTTCATTTTTTCCCTCTTTAGTAATCACACACATCATCTTCATTAAGACGTAAGCACTTTTTTAATTTCAACTTTGTATGATTTTAATCACCAAGACTGAGTAGACCATTCCTTGAACTGACCCATGAATGTCTGTCACAAGGTCTGCATTTATAAATTGCAGTGGGATGGGCCAAAAGTTCAATTTAACAGATTTTCTTTTCTTTTTTGAGATAGGGTCTCCTCTGTAATTCAGGGTAGCCTTGAACTCACTAGCCTATGTAGTTCAGGATGGCCTTGAACTCGTGGATCCTCCTGCCTCAGACTCCTGCGTGCTGGAATTATAGGAGCACAAATGCACCGCCACACCAGCTAAAGATTCATTTTTTAAAGGTTATTTAAAGTGTTTTTGACAGAATCACAGTATATCTCCACCATGTACATTAGTAAAGCTGGAAAGAGACCAAATACCTTGGTAGGGGTTATATGGGCTATTTCAGCGTTTTTGTAGTTTTTGACAGGTTAACAACAGTCTGGTTAGAAGCAGTTCTGGGCTTTTGGATCAGAAAATGTTAAAGAGTCCCCTGTGCTTCTTTTTAGTCCTTCCTAAGGAGCCCAGTAATGAGCAAGACCCCTGAAGCCATCCAATTCTGATGTGTAACAGATGGGACTATTAGCATACATCCAGAGAAGAGAAGGGGCCCTGATTCTCTGTTTAGTTAGGTGGTGTCCTTGGAAGGAATTCTTGGAGTTTATTTCCATTCATTTGATACATCAATTCAAGATGTTCTTTACTAGGTACTAGGCCTGCAACCACGAGCAAACTGATTCTTACTCTTCTGGCTCTTAATGCAATTGGAGACCAAAACATTAAAAAAGCAAATTAATGCCACGTGTGGTGGTGCACGCCTATGATCACAGCACTCAAGAGGCTGAGGCAGGAGGATTCTTGTGCGTTTGAGGCCATCCTGGACTACAGAGTGAGTCCCTGCCTCAAAAAAACAGAACAAACAAAAACAGAACAAAATAAAATAAAGCAAAACAAAAAAACTCAAGTTAAATAAACAAGGCTGTGATATTTAGCGATGAAGCTGTGAGAGAAAAGATGACGAAAAGAAGTAACTAGGGCCCCTGAAAAAGTTCTCTGAATTTTGCAGGGCTGGCTCCTCACTATCTCCCAAAGTGGTACTAGACCTAAGAAGCAGTCTTGGGAAGAATTTTTTTATTCGTAAACTGAAAGGAGGCCACCATAAGGACGGGACAGACAGAGAGGAAGGTGCCTCAGTAAGCCAGACTTAGAGCTTGGGCTTTCTTCTATGAGCAGTAGAAAGCTGTGGGTGATTTTTAGGTAGAGGAGGAATCATAGGATTTAAATTTAAAGAAAGAGTTCAGGTGTCTGTTCCATCTCTGGCTAGTTTCTAGAGATTAGGAGGTGGCATGCCTTATATACTACCTATAACTCCAGCACTTGGTAAAGAGCCCAGCAAGGAGTAGGTGCCAAGCAAGTGTACACTGGATGAATAAGTGAACAAAATGAACATAGTAATCCATCCTTCTATTAGTGTCTGTGATAATTGTGCAATACTGATGAAACACCCTGGGTTTCCTTCAGGGCATGTTTAACTCTCTCCTTGTCATTGCTTTAGGTCAAAGGCCTGGCTTTAAGTACTGGTATGACAAGGAGTGGTTGAGCAGAGGACATATGCATGGCCTGGCATTTTTGGAAGAGAACTACTCTCATCAGAATGCTAAGAAGATTGTGGCCACCCACCAGCTTCTTGGGGATGTGCAGAGAGTGATCGAGGTTCTGCATGGCCTCCAGCTCAAAATGAGCATCTTGCAGTAAGTGTGGCACCTGCAGCTTTGGAGAGGAGTCTGGTTGGCATCACATGAGGGTAGGATAAATTTGAGAGGTCAGAAAGCCACAAAATCAAGCATAAAACCGATTAGTTTAAAACCTGTACTAAAAATTTTCAGTTATATAGTAAATGTTCCTTTTTTTAAAGAATCTACCTTGTTGGGGTTGGAGTGTAGTTCATTGGTAGAATATGTGTCCACCATGTCTGAGACCTTGTTTTCAGTCCCCATTATTGGGAAAGAAAGAAACACAGACACTCAGACACTTAAATACTGCTTTTTTTTTGGGTACTGGGTATTGAACTTGGGTCCTTGTGCTTGTGAGGCAGGCAGTGGAATCACTGAGCTAAATCCCCAGCCCTCAAATACTGTACATTGAGGAGTATTTTATATATAGTTAAGTTCACCTATTTTAAGAATGTATTGAATTTTTAAAAAATTGAGTTTATTGGTACTTTTTAAGTATACAGTACAGTTACATTCATCATTGGGATCTTGTACCTTTACATGACAGGTCTTGATTCTCATTTTTTCCCCATACCCCTGCCCTCCCTTTACCCCCTCAACCTCAAGAGTGTATTGAATTTTGACAAATGTATGCACCTAATGCAGCCAACATCATCGTTATGTTACATTTAAAGTTTGTTTTGGTGTGTAGTTCTGGATTTTTTGCTTTTAGTTGTGGTAAAATATACATAGTCTTAAAATTTGGCATCTTAAGCCATTTTTGTTTTGTTTTTGAAATGGAGTCTCAATGGGCCAGGGATTTAGCTCAGTGGTGCTGCACCTCCCTCACAAGGACAAGGTCCTGAGTTTGATCCCTGGTACTGGGAATTAAGATAAATAAATGAATGAATGAATCAATGATCGAATGGAGTCTTGCTAAATTGACCAGGATAACCTTGTATTCCTGGGTTCAACCTGTCTTCTGCTCAGCCTCCTCAGTAACTGGGACTATGGACGCATGCCATCATGCCCAGCTGCCTTTTTTCTTCCCCTTTTTTTTGTGGTACTGGGGATTGAACTCAGAATTTTTTTTTTTTTGAGACAGGGTTTTGTTATGTAGTTTAGGTTGGGTTTGAACTTTTTAACCCAGGCTGGCCTAAATCCTCACAGCAATCCTCCCACCTCAGAATTTCTTTCTTAGACTGAATTATGTTTCATTGTATGAGTAAAACTGAAAGCTGTTAAAAGGATTATTGTTGGCTGGCCTGCTCTTTAGTATAGTGGTTGCTTCCACCTATAGTACCTGTTTCTCAGTAGTTAGTTTGCTCACTAGAAAAATTTTAGGTCTCTAGGAGCTAGATGTCTGGCTTTTTTTTTTTTTTTGTACTGGGGACCAAACTCGGGACCTTGTGCTTGCGAGGCAGGTGGCAGAACCACTGAGCTAAATCCCTGCCTTCCCCCACCCTTTTATTTTCTGTGGTACTGGGTATTGTACCCAAGACCTTCACACTGAGCTACATGCTCATCTTTTTTAAAAATAATTTTATTATGGGACAGCATCTTGCTAAATCTGGGCTCGAACTTGTGATGCTCCTGCCTCAGCCTCCAAGAGAGCTGGGAGATATATAGCATTATACCTGGAGACTTCTAGCTTTTATTTTATTTTTAAGTTTAATTTTATTTATTTATTTATTTTACTTCTGGCTTTTAGTAATTAGAAGGTTCAGGAGTGGAAATGAATGTGAATTTCCTTCTGTGGTTGCATTCTATATGTCAGATGACCTAAGTTTATATAAGCTCTGATGGACCTGTGGCTCTTACTGGGATCCCTTTTGGGGTGGGTGTCTGTTTTTGTTTTGTTTTTTTTTAAATAACCTAATCTACTTCACCAAATATAGCAACTGGGGCCTTGAGTAGGGAGCCACTCTTTCATGTTTTCCTGGGGTGGAATCAGGACCTGAACTCAGATTCTACCCCAACCTTTTTTTTTGTTTTTTTTTTTGTTTGTTTGTTTGTTTTGTTTTGTTTTGTTTTTGTGTGTGTGCCAGGGATTGAACTTAGGACCTTGTGCTTGCAAGGCAGGCCACCGAACCGCTGAGCTAAATCCCCGGCCCTACCCTACACTTCTTTAATGGCTTCTGTTCAGTGCTGTAGCATGGCCATGTGAACTTTCTTCTTATAGTCAGTAGCAGGGACTGCTTTTCCTTTGTAAAGATCCTTAAATTTTCCTGTGAGCCTTCCCACAAGAGGTTATTTTAGCTAAATCATATCCAGTGACTTACTTCCTGAGTTTGACTTGGTAGGCCACTCTCCACAACAAGTTTTTTCTTCATGCTGACTGGTTCTGAGGCCTCCTGGTGCCAGGTAGTACAGTGTTAGAGCCCTGAGATGGCAGGATGGAACTCTGCTTTCTCCTGTGTGCTCTGGCACAAAGAGGTCTTGCTTCAAGTCCTGGCATGACAAAGAGCGGCTGAGTTGGGGACATTTAGCAAGCATGTAGACTGGTTTGGGTAAAAGCTATTGTAACAAAGACCAGTCTTAGTCAGTTTCTTCTCACTGGTACAAAATACCTGACACCCATAATATAAAAGAAGAGAGGTTATTTTTTTTTTGTGGTTTCAGGCTATAGTCGGCTATCTCCAAAGTAAAAATGGGATGGCAGAGGGGCCTGGTAGAAGAAAAAGTGCTCAATCCATGGCATCCAGAAAGCAGAGAGTAAAGGGAACAGCTGAGGACCTTCCAGGTTACATTGTTCAATGACTCTCCTCTTCCAGCCAGGCCCCATCTCCTAACAGCACATTTTAGCTCTGAACTCATCAGTGAATTAATCCACTGATGAATATAGTGTCCTAATGATCAAGCCCACCTTCCAAAAGCCTTGGAACTGAGTGTTTTGAGGGACATTCTAGATCTAAACCATAACACACACACAGACCCCAAATAGAGGCTTAAATGAAATGGAAGTTTCTTTCTCACATAATACATGGTTCAGAGATAGGCAAGAGTCTAGGTCAGGATTCCATTCCTGGACTTGGGAAATGGATTTCCTTCTATCACACTGCATTGCCATTCTCCCAGGGTCACCCTCATGTGAAAGGCCTTCAGTTCTTCCTCTGTTCACTCAGGGTTACCCTCATCTGCATGGTTGAAGCAGTCACACCTGCACTTTAGCTCTGTTCCAGCCCCTAGGAGAGGGAAAGAGAGAAGGAGGGCATGGAGGCAAGTCAGGGTGGCCACTGGTCCTGCTCAAACTCAGGAGTGTGTGTAGATGGGTGGATAAATGGAGGGGGGCAGTTAGACTGTGACAGTGAGGTGAATTGAATCAAATGACAGCCTTGAATAGGAGGGTGTCAGAGACTATGCCATCATATTGTATAAAACAGAAAAACATTACCCATTTAAACCTCAGGAATTTACTGTTAATGAGATGCCAGAAATTGAAGTAGGTGGGTGGTGATCTGTATGTGGGCCTGGAAAACCTCATTATGGTTGATTCTGTCAGATGGTATTTGTTCTCTTTCTTTTCAATGAAATGCCAGTGCCCTGGCCTGTTTTCATATTTTGGAACCGCATCATTTCTGAATCCTTAGATCCTTTATCTCACTAGAAGTGACTTTGTACAGGAATTAAATTGACTTCTAGTAATCTAGAACAGAGTATTGGGAGAGCTTGTTAATCTTGAATGAAGAAAGTTTTGGGAAAGGGAAGTTTGGCCTCATTATGTCTGTGTGGTATATGGGTAGTCTCTGCTTCCATGAACTTTGGAGTACTTTTCAAATGATCTGGTAAGTTTATTTTCAAAGACAATAAAACTGAGAGTAAATTTAGAGCATTTGTCATTTTAAAAAGTTACTGTGATAGCTGTAGGTTTATTCTCGGAGGGCTCCATCTAATATATTGATCTGGGCTGGGGTTTTAGCTCAGTGGTTCTGCTGCCTGCCTCACAAGTTCAAGGACCCAAGTTCGATCCCTGGTACCAAAAAATAAAATAAATAAATAAACTAATGTATTGATCCCCTTGTGCTGCAGCACAGGTCCTGTCAAGATGATTGACAGGACTTGCAAGGAAAGGACAGGGTCATTCATCCTTGTGAAGAGGAATAGCTGAAACTCTGTCTCTTAGTAGGAGGAGTAAAAATTGTAGGAGCCAAGGAAACAGGAGACTTCTGTGACTTTTATAAAGAGCAGGTCTGTTTTCTGGCTCATGTGCTCTTTGTTAATAGATTTCAGATGATAGTGGACCTGGAAACTAATAGTGACTCCCATTTTCCCTGTGCAGTTATGATTTCAGAGACATGTTGTGGTCTTGGGTAGGTTCTTTGTACAGGCTCTAATATCTTACCTCAAGATGGTTCCATGATTCAGGCTGCCTTGATGCCAGTTGCTTCTCTCCTTCCCCAATGCATGAGGGTGGCATGGTATTGTTGGGGTGAGGGAGCTGAAAAAGGATAGTTGCAGGCTATTCAGATCAGAATCTTTGCTTTTGCAACATAGCCTTCATGTTTATGGCCAATTCCTCTTCTTTAGGAAGATTTCAGGTAGGAGGCAGGAGGGCAGAGGATCCCCAAATATAATTTCAATGTTTCTCACTAAAGGGCTGGGAAGGTTCTGTGGCAGTTGTGCTATGGGATAATTATTTGTGTGGGATTGTGCTAGCATTACCAGGTATTGTGTCCCTGGATCCTAAAAGAACTAAATGTTAGCACAAATACCCTAAGGATTGTGATGATCTGAAAGGCCTTGTCAATATGTTGTAACCGAACTAAATTCAAGTAGCACCTCTGTCTCCTTCTGCTTGTTTACAAACATTTCCTGGAGGACACTGCCATGCCACTACCACCCACCATGCTCAAGAAGGCCACTGTTTCCTGGCAGGCTCTTCCTCCCTCCTCCCTTCTTTCATTTTACTTAGTGATCACAAGTTGTAATATAAGTTCTCGATGACAAAGATTAATTGAAAAGTGAAGTTTATGTAGTGACTTTTACACATAAAAAATTATGTATTATGCAGTAAGGAAATTTATTTTATACCACATATATAAAACTGAAAATAGAGCTGGGTGTGGTGGTGCATCCCAGCACTCGGAAGGCTGAGGTGGGAGGATCTCTGTGAGTTCAAGACCAGCCTGGGTTATGTAGTTCCAGGTCAGTCTCAACTACATAGTGAGACCCTGTCTCAAAAAACAACAACAACAACAACAAAAACCCTGAAAATAAAATTTCACAGAATACTTTGTTTTAAGATCAGGTCTCACTACATAGCTCAGATTGACCTTGAACTCACTATGTAGATCAAGCTGGCCTCGAACTCATGGCTATCCTCTTGCCTCAGCCTCCTAAGTGCTGGGATTACAGTCATGCAGCACTATGCCCAGCATGAATACCTATTTTAGAATAGTGACTCATATTTTCTGTTCTAAAAATTATTAATACATGTTTGCAGTACGTAATGATTTGCATTAATTGTGGGGATTTGGTACAAGTACATAACACAATTTAATTCTTTTTATTGCCCCCCCCCAACTCAGGACCTTGTATTTGCAAGGGATCTCTGAGCTTAATCCTTGGCTCATCTCCCTCTCTCTCTTTTTTAAACCTGTTATTTATGATCCATTACATTTAATAACCGTAGGTTGGGTTGAAACTCAAGAGGGAATGATTCTAGGAGACTCTAAAGTCAGAAACAATTTTATATGCACCTTCATGTGGGCACAGCTTAAAGTAGGTTCTCAGGAGAGTATATACTGTGGGTTAGTAGCCAGCAGTCAATCAATAAATAATAAATAAATGGCTGCAAATGGACAGCGTAACACTAAATATTAAAACATTTTGCAATTAAACATATATGAAGAAAATTCACTAGCATGCCTAAAATTATTACTTTTAGTTCCTGGGGTTAAATGCTGTATATGCTTTAGGTTTTATAAACTCTGATCCTAACTTCTGTTATTCTAAACTAACACCAATGGCCACTAAAAAAAAAAAAGTTTATGGTCCTACGAAGGACAAGGGTCCCTCTCTTTCCTTTAATAAGAGACTTTCCTCTTTGGAATGATGAGAATAGATTTTAGAAAAATTTTTAGAAACTTACTATTAATATCCTGCATAGATATTAGTTGCCCCCCACTCCATCATCATTGCATTTTGGTTAATTGAGTGCTGTTACATGCCAGAATTATTGACTAGTTTGTTACTTCTTGAGTCAGGGTTTCGCTGGCCACATAGCTGAAGGCGACCTTGAACTCACAATGATCCTCTTGCCTTAGCTTCCTGCATGTGCCACCATGCCTGGCTTGTGATTGTTTATTAAACTTATTTTTAGAAAAGCTACTTTTTTTTTGGTACGGGGAATTGAACTCAGGACTTTGTACTTGAGAGGCAGGTGAGGTGCCACTGAGCTAAATCCCCGGCCCAGTAAAGCTACATTTGAAGAGCACTTTACTGCCAGCCAAGTACTTCATCCCAATTAAATTCACTTACTTTTAAAAAAACTCAGTGTTAGTGGCTGACAGATGACTAGCTCAGTTACCAGAGCAGGAAGGAAGTAGGAATGAGATTGGATGAGTGAGTTATCTCAGCTGCACTGCTTATTTGAAGCTGACTCCAATCCTACTCACTGCTTGTGTCTATAGCGAGAACTTCTGGGAAAATGGGAGATGTACATTCACTCCTGCTTGGCAAATGGTGGTGTGTGGTCAAATGACACAGGTGGGAGAATATTTGGGAATTGTGAAGCCCTACAGTGGTGCCAGTTATCCCAAAGCCCTTTGTCTGTTCATCCTCCCAACAGAAGCAGGGAGCATCCTGATCTGCAACTGTGGTGCCAGCCTTGGAAACAGCACTCAGGGGAAGGGAGAGCTCATTCCAGGCACATCCATGTGATGGACACCAGGAACAAGGAAGAAGCCCCCAGCTATAGAACTTTGAATGGGGCAGTGGAAAAGCCCCTACCCCTACACCGGTCTGTGGAAGAGTCCTATATCACTAGTGAGCACTGCTACCAGAAGCCCCGTGCCTATTACCCTGCTGTGGAACAGAAGTTGGTGGTGGAGACGCGCAGCTCTGCACTTGATGATGCAGTCAACTCACTCCGTGAGAATGGTGATGATTCCTTCTCCCCTCGCCTGGGCTGGCCTCTGGATCAAGACAGGAACAGAGGGGACAGCGACCCCAAACCCAGCCCCCCTAAAGTATGTGACTTGCATGTCCCGGTTCTTCATTTGGTATTTGAGTACTTCTCAGTTCCCTGCATGTGGTTCAGTGATCTGTGGAAGATATTTCTTAGTAGAACTGTATTTAAATTTGCCTATCATAGGTGTTTTTGGTCTGTTAAAATGAAATGCAGTTAGGAGAGCCCACATAAGCCAAAGATCATTGGTTTCAGGAAACCCCTTGAAATTGAATAGTCAGTGGGGATAAGGAGCAGAAAGGTGAGAAGAGAGAGTTGACTGGAATTTGAAAAAATGAAACTAAGGAAAATCTATCTTTTCTTTTCTTTTTCTTTTTTTTGGGGGGTACTGGGGATTGAACTCTGGATCTTGTGCTTGTGAGGCAGGCAATGGCACCAATGAGCTAAATACCCCGCCCCTATCTTTTCTTTAATACCAGATATAGTACATTTGTACCTAGTTGCTAATTGTTACCATGATCAATGAGTCAAGTGTTTTGTTAGGCATAATATTTTCAGTAAAATTCTCTATTTTTATTTTGACTCTTAATTTTGTAACTCTGTCCGGAAAGGTCCATTTTATCAAACTATTTGCTGCTTTCAACAGTTTTCCAAAGATCTACTCTTAGTTGTTTTTCTGGTAATTTTTTTCTGGAACCCCCCTGTGTCATACTATAATTGCCAGTGTTCAGTAGTTTCATTGTGGCTATCCCAGTTTTTCAGTGAGGCTTATATAATTTCAGAGCTTCTCTGTCTTTGTTGTGCTTTCAGAGTCTTGATTCTGTGGGTTGGCATCACCAGCATTAACAACCTGTGCCCTTGCCAGTGTCTGAACAGTGTTGGGCCAGGGTGGTAAGCACACAGTCTAGCGAGACAGATGTTGTTCCAAGTCTGGGTTCAGTCACTTGTGATTCTGAGTGGGTTGCTTCCTCTTCCTGAGCAGACTCATTTTCTCACCTATAGAATGAAGCCATTAACTGTGCCCCTCAGTTACTGTGGAATGTGTTTTTGAAAGCTCTCAGCACATTGCTTTGTACACACTAACATCAAAATTAATCTTAGCTGGAATGTATTTTATTTCAAATAAATGAATGAAGCCAGGCAGGGTGGTGCATACCTCTAAGTCTAGCACTCTGGGGGAATGAGCCAAGATCACAAATTTGTGTCCAGCCCGAGCAATTTAATGACTTAGTGAGACCCTGTCCCAAAATTTTAAAAAATGTAAAATGGCTGAGGATGTAGATCAGTGCTTAAGGTCCTGTGCTTAATCTCTAGCACCACAAACAAACTAGTATTGAATGAATGAAAGGTTGAGATCCCAAACTCCAGAAAAGCTTTACAATCCTGTGGACTAGACAGGTTTCCTAGTGGTGTCTGGCATGTATTACAAAATTAGAAAATACCAAAGTAGGGCAACCAGTGTTAAAATCTTTTCCAATGCTGGTGAGCTGAGTCTAAATTGGCATTGTTTTTTATACCACACCCTATTTTCATTCTCATGAACATTCAAAGTGAGTTTTACTACCTCCATCTTCCCAGTGAGAGAACATAGGCTCAGAGACAAGAAGGAGCTCACCAGAGCCTCATATTCAACAAGAATGAAGCCAGGACTCCCCAGTCTTGTGTGACTGCTATGTGTTAAACCACGTCCACACTCGCTTTGCTGTAGTCAGCTCTAAGGACTGTGGGCATGGGGCATTGGGCCAGCCATGCAGAACCATCTGTGGGGTTCTTGCTCCCCTGAGGAAGTGACATGAGGCAGTGGAAGGTTTCTACCCAATCCCCAAATGGGAGGGAGATGAGGTTTTGGAGTATTCAGACCACAGCTGGTTTTTCAGAGGGTTGCAATCCCTACCTGGTTGGAACAGGGGTTGGAAGCTGTCTTCATGCAGTAACTTAAATGTCATTATATCCCTAGGTGAGGGACTATGTTTCCAAAAAGGTCCTACCAGAGGAAGCCCCTGCTCGGAAGCTGCTGGACAGAGGTGGAGAGGGGTTGATGAGCTCCCAGCATCAGTGGCAGTTTAACCTGCTGACACATGTGGAATCTCTTCAGGATGAAGTCACGCATAGGATGGACTCCATTGAGAAAGAACTGGATGGTAGGGCTCCTTCCTGGTCCCCTGGCCATTGGCATGTACTTTGTTGTCTCTTCTGTCCCACAAGTTGCTTTCTGCTGCTTTTGAAAATGAGGTCTCTCACTGGGCGTGGTGGCACACACCTGTAATCCCAGCACTTGGGAGGCTGAGGTAGGAGGATCAAATGTGAGTTCAAGACCAGCCTGGGCTTCATAGGAGTTCCAGGTCAGTCTCAGTTATATAGTGAGATCCTGTCTAAAAAAAAAAAAAACCTGAGGCGTGGCCTAGGCTGGATTTGAATTTGTGAACTGAAGTGATCCTCTTGCCTCAGTTTACTAAATAGCTAAGACCATAGGTGTGCCCCACCATACCTGGTTTATGTTGATTTCTGACCACTCCCCAAAATCTGGTTTATCTAGGGATAGATATGTTCTACACTCTCGTTTTCAACCTCACTTACCTCCATCAAGGAGGACAAGCTTGACTTTTAGTGTTTATTGGGTACTTTTAAAGTCTGATGCTATCAAGGATTTAGCCCCTTCTTCAGAGCGGACTATGGAGGGCCCAGGGGTGAAGCCCAGTGGTAGAACATGTGCTCAGCATGCAAGAGGCCCTGAGTTCAACTCCCAGAACTACAAAAACAAACAAAATTGTATATATGCAGAAGAAAATTGGACCCTGTTTGCAGGAAACATAATCTCAGTAAGTCTTTACGAACAGAGTTCTGTGAAGAATTATACTTTTTTTTGTTTTTTTGTGGTACTGGGGATTGAACTCAAGACCTTGTGCTTGCAGGGCCGGTGGCAGAACCACTGAGCTAAATCCCCAGTCCAAGAATTACACTTTTGGCTTACATTTTAGGATGTAATCTGAAAAATCTTTTATTTCAACCTTTGATATAATCTAAACTGAATCATTTTCCTCTTTATTCACTAGAGATTTAAGAATTTTAGTCATTTGTGTAACCCTGGCTGTTCTCTTAGATATTGGTGATGGACAGACTTGGGGGACTGAACTTGTAATGATGAACATGATTAAATTCAGTCTTTGTCCCAGGAAGACAAAATTCATTCATTCTGTCTTTCTATATCTGTCTGTCTGGGCTGCCCCCCACCCGCTTCCTCTTTTGGAAACAGGTCTCTCTATGTAATTCAGACTGGCCTTGAACTCAGTATGTAGCCCAGGCTGGCCTCAAATGTGCAATGATCCTTTTTGTCTCAGCCACCTGAGTGGTGGATTACAGGCATACACCACCATGCCCAGTTTCTTGTTTACTTATTTTCTAATTGTTTTCATTTTTAAAATGGAGCCCAGTTTAGATATAAATGTTCTGTTTGGGGATTCTGGGTACAGTCAGGCTATGATGACTGTAACTGAGGATATAAAACATATGTGAAGTAACAGAAAAATTCCATGTTATACAAAGCCAGGGTCATGAGGTATGGCCAGGACACCTGTGTGGCAGAGGCTATACAAAAGAGTGCTGACAGAAGCTTTTCTGGAACTCTTGGTGCTGATGCCAAGCCTTGAAGGGAAGAATAATGTTTTCTGCTGGAGAAGGAGAGAGTCAAAATAGATGAGAGGACTGGATTAATGGCTAAAGGGAGTTCCCTGGTGGAGGATAAAGAGAAAAGGAAGGACTCTTTGTCTTTGAGTTTATGTCCTGCCCCTGAGGTAAGCTTGAGGGCACTTAGGGAAGGATGTTTCTGCCTCTTTTTACTCCTAAAACATTCCTTTGGGCTCACTGGAAGTGTAACTGATGCCACCATTTGTGAAAAACGTGATTTTGAGAGAATGGTAGAATTGGCTTAACACCACAGAGCAGGGTCAATGTTCTGTTGTTGCCAAAGAATCTGTGTGTAGGGGAGAAGTCAGAGCCTGTGCAGATCTTACCTCCTTCTACCCCTGGGATTCCCATTCAGGCAGTGTGGAGAGATGATAAGCCTGGGCTCCCTCTAGCCTTTGTGGCCTGGTGATTGGCATCTATATTCTTTAGGGAACTTTTTTTTTTCTTTGTTGGTACCGGAAATCAAACCCAGGACCTTGTGCTTGCCAGGCAGGCACAGTACCACTGAGCTAAATTCCTGGCCCTGGCATCACATATTCTTATGTGTTCTAATACTCCCAAGTCCTGAGAAGTGTAAAGGAGGGATGAAAATTAGTGATAAATCTTAAAGATTTTATTTAGGTAAACAGACTTGTGTACTGTTTAGATTCATCAGAATCCCTTTTAGGGAGTCAGATCTTCATTTCATTCAAAATCTTCAATTCAGTAGGAGAGATAGGTATTAATGAAATTAACCCATTACTAATAATTAGCAACCCTAGCACACAGTGTTGTAACCCTAGCACTCAGGCGGCTAAAGCAGGAGAATTGCTATGAGTTCAGAGCACTTCTGGGCTACATAACGAAACCCTGTCTCAAAAAAAAAAAAAAAAAAAAAC